AGTCATAGAACACTTCACACCTGACACAGACTTTCACACACCATCCCTTTCATCCTTTTTTTAAAATATAATTTTACTGATTTCAGAGAGGAAGGAAGAGACGGAGATAGAAACATCAATGCTGAGAGAGGATCATGGATCTGCTGCCCCCTAATGGGGATCGAGCCCGCACTAGGCATGTGCGCTGACCGGGAATCAAACCATGACCTCCTGGTTCATATATCAACGCTCAACCACTAAGCCGCGCCCGCAGGCCCCTTCATTCTTGATGCTGCCCTTATCAGACTGCTGTTGCTATTACTGTCCCATTTTACAGATGAGAAAACGAGGCCCAGAGTAGGCAGATGGCTGGCCACGTCCCCTCTCCTTGCAGTAGTTCTCACTAAGCTGCGTGTTGGAATCACCGGGGATTTCTGACAAACTCCTGCGGTCTGGCTCCCACCCCAGCCATGCTGATTCCATTGTCATGTGCAACCGGGTGCAGGAGTTCTGAACGCTCCGGGGGTCTAAATCGCAGCCATATCCAGGAAGGACCGCCTTCCAGCTGCTGCCTCTGTGCCCGAGAGGCACCGTGCTCAGGGCTGTCTCCTGTAAGAACGGGGGCTATTTCGCCAGAACGAACAGGTTTAAAATGGTAAAGGAATTGATGGGAAAGCGAGGTGCCCTGGAGCCAGGTGAGTGGGGGGAGGAGAGACGAGTGCCCGCCCCCCATGGAGGAACTCAGGACCCTCTGATGTGCTGAGCAGTCCTCCTCGCCTGTGGGCTCCCATGATGGACTGGCTCCCGCATCCTATTATGCGGAGTGAGGTCAGCAACAGCTTCCAAAGACTCACCTCGACCTGCTCCCAGGAGGACTGCCTTCTGCAGCCACGTGGAGGCCAGCTCTGCCAGCCCAGAGCGTCTGGGCCCTTTGGAACTGACACTGAAGTCTTCAAACTTCACACGCAAACTCTAGTCAGTGTCCCCCCGCCCCATTGACCGGATGTGACTGTCCATGACCTCAGACTCCTCCACGGACAGTCAGAGAACTGTGAGGTCACTCGGAGGTGCAGCTTGTCCATCAAGAGCTCCACGGCGTCCTGAGCCACAGAAGTGCTCTCAGGAGAGATCGAGCTCCCGGGGGAGGGGGCGGCCCCGCTGGGATCACACTCCCTGAGGGCTCCGAGGTCCAGGCTTCCCCACTTCATGGAAGTGCCGTGCCCACAGGAAGCTCACATCCCAGCTGTTGGCCTCCAACCTGCAGCTGGGAGACCAGCAGGCTGGAGCGACGCTTACGACCAGCACCTCAGGGCCACAAACCAGGGACCACCTGCCCCGCCCCCTCCAGGAGCCTCCAGGGCAGCCCTCACTTCCTCCAGCAGAGAGGACAGAGGATGCACCCATCGCGAGCAAGGTCTGGGCACTGAGGCTGACACAGCCTGTGGGTCGGAGCGAGGCCCCTGGGGGAGACCCGGGGCGGAGCTGGAATAGGCCTCAGGGGAGCGAGGAGAAGCCAGAGACCGTGGCCTTGATGCCCCCTCTTTTCGAACCCGAGAGGGTGGGAACAGTGCAGAAAGGCCCGGAAGGTGCGCTGGTTCCCCCAAAGGGAGAGTTGGAAACACCCAGCGGAGCAGCAGCCGAAGGCAGAGGACTGACGAGTGATCAAGTCTTCACGTTCCCTCTCAGATCATCTCTCCCATCAACACGGGGCGTGAGCACGGACATCACGCGGTGCCAGCACTGACCCTGCAGCACCCAGAGGCGGACCCTGGGGAACGGCAGCTCAAAGTCTTAAAAGCAAATGAACTTGGGCTTTGCAATTGGTTTGAAAAGCCTCAGAGATCATTTTTCCCAGATGCATGTTGAGTTCAAAAATGAATTTATTTATGTTCCGCCTCCTTCTAAGCATGGAACGGAGGCAAGTTCCACCGCCCACGTGGGTCTTGTCCAAAACCGCGAGCGGAACCGTTTCCGTGTCACTTGGACTCGCAGGAGGGCACGGTCGGTCAGGCTCAGGACAGGACCCCGTGGGAGGAGATGCCCTGACAGGACCACTGCTCCCATTCCCTCCACGCCCACAGCCCCAGGTCTTATTTAGCTACAAGACCTCGTTTCTCATGCTATTTAAGTTTATTTAAAAAAAAATATTTCTATTGATTTCAGAGAGGAAGGGAGAAGGACAGACAGAAACATCGATGATGAGAGAGAATCATGGATCGGCTGCCTCGGGCACACCCCACACTGGGGATGGAGCCCGCAACCCGGGCATGTGTCCTGACGGGAATCGAACCGTGACCTCCTGGTTCCTGGCTCATGCTCAACCACTGAGCCACACCGGCCGGGCCTATTTAAGTTTCTTAACCTTTGCAGAGGGCGGTGAGCCACCAAACTCCTCTTTGAACACCCAGGGCGCACGCGCATGCGAGCACACACACACACACACACACACACACACATTGGTTGGCCAATAGGGGTGGGAGGGATGGGAGGTAGTGTGAGGAGGACAGGGAAGGGGCCACAGAAGATGGGGGAGGGGATAAAAACACACCTGGGGAGACAGCCCCACAACAGTGATCCCTCTAAGCAAGAAGCAGACGCAGAGGTGGGCTCTCTGGGGCGGAGCCAGCCCCGCAGACGGCACTGCAGTTCACCCCGTGGGTCTCCTGGGAAGCCCGTCACCTCGTGGCGGGAACCCTCGGGCCCGTCTAGTTTTGTCCCCTGACACAGAGCGGACGTACACCATTTCATCGTGGTGGGTCGTCTGGTCAGAGCAGAGGCCGGTCTAGCTCTCCTGGTGCCCAGAGCGGGTCCCCTCGGTGCTCAAGGCCACACATGGCCAGCTGCTGACTCCCTCTTGTGGGCAGCACAGTGCTCCCGTGTCCTCTTCCAGCTCACTGAGCCGCACCGCATGGAACTGGACAGCAGGGCCGAGCCAAGGCCCATTCCTTAGGGAGCGTTTGGCTAACGAACCGATATTCCTCTCAGTGAAAGCAGCAGCCGTACGTTCGTGTGACTTAAAGCATTAGCACCTGGCAAGTGGGTGACCCAAGTATGTTGTGGCCAATGAGCTCGTCTCAGGGCCTCCGCCTCCGGGACGGCCGCTGGGATTTACTTCTGTGACGGGGCTGCCTCTCAGGCCGGGGTTGCCGGCCGGGAGCCCCTCTGGGCATCGCTCTTTAAAGGACAATGCGTCGAACACGTGGATGTGTAAATAACTTAAAAGCTAATTAAATGTTAACAGGATTTCCAGACGCTTATAAAATAACAGGCCAGAGATCTGCTTCACAGAGAGCAGAGCGTGAGGCTGGCTGGGCAGCAAGACCGCCTCTAGCCCGGCACCACTGGGGGCCGCACCCCAGGCTCAGCGACAAGGGCTAACGCGGCTCCAGAATCCTCGCTGTCGCCCCCGCAGCACCCGCCATCGGGCAACTCTGCCTGCTGGTCCAGAGCAGAGCGCTGCCCCCAGTTCAGAAGCAGCAGACGGGCCAGGCCACTAGGCCTCGGACAATCAGAGCAGCGTTCAGTCCTGCCAGCCTTCGGGCTCCCACTGAGCACACCATCCACTCGCCATCCACACGCCACCCCCCGGGCACTGGCAGCAATGAGGGGCCTCTGCAGGCGGCTCCCAAACAGCCGATCACGGCATGATTCACCCGTGAGATCATCCCAGAGCCGGTCGCTGGGGGGACGTGCACGGAGTGAGAAAGCAGCACAATCCTGAGTGTGTGATTCCCACAACAAAGAGGCGTCTTGGGGGGACGTGGGGGAGGGGCGTGGAGGCTGGAGGCCTCTCTCTGGAAGGCCGTCCTCTGTCCCCGGGTGACGACGCTCAGGAAGTGGGCCCAGGGGGCGACCTCACCTGAAATGCCCAGCAACAAAGGCTGGGGACTCGAACGCCACACGAAGCTGCTGCTTAAAGCTTCCCGTCCAGAGACACTGGGGCTCCGACCGTGCAGTCGGCTCACCCAGTGACTGTCCGTCAACCAGGAATGCTTCTCTCAGTGGGTCTGTCCCCAACACACACACCTCGCAGGCGCTATTCTGTTGGGATCACGAGCGTGGTTATTTTCTAGAATCCTCAGCCACAAGCTACCTGGACTCACTCCGACCTCCTTCCAATCGGATCTACACGGAAAAGTAGGCTCACAGCCCTGGCCAGTGTGGCTCGGTTGGTTGGGCATCGCCCCAAAGGTTGCTGGTTCAATTCCAGTCGGAGCACAGGCCTGGGTGGCAGGCTCAATCCCCAGTAGGGGGCGTGCAGGGGGCAGCCAACGGATGTTTCTCCCTCTCCCTTCCAGTCTCTCTGGAGTCAATTTAAAATAAAGGTAGGTTGACGGTTGTACGAGAAACAAGAGCTTATTCTTGTATTTATCAACATTGAATTGCTTCCCATGGAAACAGCTGTAACCCTCCTACCCCGGCCTGTGTGTGCAAAATGCCTGCGGATGCCCCACCTCCAGGGACTGAGGACCATCTGGCTCTCATGGCAGCCGTGTGCACGGGGTGGCGGGGCAGCTCCGACTCCAGGCCTGCAGTCTCCCCCTCACAGGGGAACCCGCTCCCAAAGCTCTGGAGTTGGTGTCTGGGACGGGCGTGCCTGCTCCCGCTGACGGGACGCCCCACAGGACGCCCTTCTGGCCTGTAATGCAGCTGCACTCGCCTGGGGTCCAAGCAGGAGGTCCTGCCGCAGGAGGGACAGGCCAGAGGGTGGTAGAGGGCGGGAAGCAGGAGGAAGCTCTGGGTCCCGGGCGGACCCCCCATTGCATTATTCCCACCTCCCGACTCCCACCCAGAACGGACCTGGGGAAACCACCGCTTCCAACTCAACGTGCAGCCAAGAGCGTCCCTGCTTCCCACAAGCCCGGCGCCCGTGGAAAGAGCCGTGTGTTCATCTGCTCGCACGCTGCATGCTATTGACATTTCCCACCGACCGCAGGATGCTCAGTTGGGAGGTGACACGGAGCTGACGGAGGGCGAGGCCAGCAAACTGCCGACAGCCAGAGACCCGAGGGGTGTGGACAGGGACTGGGGAGCTGGGAGTTGTCTGAATGCACCCGCCCTGCACCCCCGCTCCGTGCCCATCATGCCCTGGGCAAGACTGAATTCCCAACGGGAAAGAACCGGAAAAGAAGACAGATATTAGAAGCATCTCCTATCTAACAGGGCAGTGAGGAGCCAGGAAAATTCCAGGGCAAGTGGAATAGGGAAACTGAGGCAGGAAAGTGCAAGCAAGGCCAAACAGCCCGGGCCCGTGTGGCTCAGTGGATAGAGCATCTGTCCGCAGACCAAAGGGTCTCGTGTTCAACTCCTGGTCGAGGGCACGTACCCAGATTACGGGTTTGATCCCCTGCCCGGGTGAGAGCTTGTGCAGGAGGAATCAATCCA